ATTATGTGTTTTAGATATGTTTTTGTCAAAACCCCCAAGCTGAAGATTTAGCTTATTTAATCTATGGAAAGCATCTTTCACGTAACCTGGTTTAACAAAGCCCCAGTCCCCATTGTGAAACCATTTGGCCATATCAGACTTACTTTCTATCATAAAACATCTTTTACTTTTAGATTCAAATAAACATGTTATTACATATTTTATACCGTATATAGCCATTGCCATTGAGTCAATTCCGACTCATAGTGACCCTATATGACAGAGTAGAACTGTCCCATAGGGTTTCCAAGGAGCAGCTGGTGGATTTGAACTGCTGACATTTTGGTTAGCAGCCAGGCTCTTAACTACCACACCAGGAGGGCTCTACAGTACATAGGAAATGTAAAAATCACTGAGAAATAAATTATAGAATATATAGTAAGACATTACTCAGGTAGTTGAGAAAAAATATATGGCTCAAATAGAATTAATTTATCCATTTATATAATAATTTAAAAAACATATCTGTATGCTTCTTATCATCATGTTACACTGCAGCATTTTAAATTAAGTAATAAAATATTTATGAAGTGAGGGATAATGATAAAAGGTGTGTTATCTTTTTAAAAAGTGTGTGCCTGCATCTTCTGATCTCTGATATTCTGCTTTTAGGTAAAATTAAAAGGAGACGATTCAGAAGCAACTCTGTACATTTTTATTTGGGGTTATTTAATGAAAGAGAAAAATATATACTGTTAAAAACTAATTGGTCTAGCAGCTAACATATAACTTATTGTTTGTTAATAGGAAGTAGAAAATATTAAACCGTTTAGAAGATGTAATAAGAATTAACTCTAATTAAAATAAAAATTTCATGATACGATGTGACAAAATAAGTTTTAGCAGCCATGTTGAATAGTGCACACTCAATCTAAATCTAGTTAGGTTTAGTCTAGCCCAGTGGTTCTTCAGGTGTCATCTTCCAAACAGCAGCATCAACATTACATGGGAACTTGTTAGAAATGTGATCTCGGGCCCTTCCGCACACCTATTGAAGTGGAAATTCCGGGGGTGCAGCTCAGCTGTGTGTTTTAACAAGCCCTTCTGTTGATTCTGATACATGTTGGAATTTGAGAACCAGTGGTATGAATTGAGAACCTTCTGTCTCAATTAATTCTGACAGTTATAAAAACAAAATTCTTAAATCAGCATTAGAAAATTTGAAGTTTAGAGAAATTAAATGACTGGGTCAAAGGCACAGCTCTGGTCAGTAGCAGGGCTGGATCAGAACCCAATTTATTTACATCGTTAAATGAAGTATTGAGATTACATACCAATATCTGTCATTGCTACAGGTGTAAAAATCCTTAAAAAGATATTAACAAATTGAATCTGCTCATAAATAAGAAGGATAATCCATTGTGATGAAATGGAACTTATTTTAGGAATGAAAGAGGTTTTATGTTTGAAAATCAATTACTGTAAGTCATATTAACAGGAAAAAAGGAAAGAATCATATGATCCTCTTAGTAGACACAGAAAAAGCTTTTGATAAGATGTAACACCCATTCATTATAAAAATTCTTAGCAAATTTTACTAGTAGAAGCAAAGTTCCTTAATCTGATAGAGTAGCCTTTCTCAGTCTTCTTACCTTGGAAGAACCCTTCCAATAATTTTTCAGGCCTCAGAGAAGAACCCTTGTAAAAAATTATTATACTTACAATGCACATTATGTTAGTCTAATCAGTAAGCTGTGGATATGTTGTTTGGTGCTGTCAGGTCTGTTCCAGGTCATAGTGACCCTGTGTACAACAGAATGAGACACTGCCCGGTCCTGCACCATCCTCACAATTGTTGGTGTGTTTGAGCCCATTGTTGCAGCCATTGTGTCAGTTCATCTTCTTAAGGGTCTTCTTCTTTTGC